CAGGATTCAGATGCTCTCATCCAAATCAACCGATTATGAARCTTCTCTATAGGCCACATGAAGAGAGGGGCAAGTAACGTAACATAGCCATCATTTATTTTAATCACTTTAAATCACTTTTCCTAAGCCCTTTGATAGCATATTGTGCTTCAAATAACAGTGGGGGATGGGGAAAAAAAATTCTAAGTTAACGTTATCTCCACATTGAATATTTTTCTCCCGTACTACAGAAAAATGTCTGCAAGATAAAATCAAACATGACAAAGACAAGTAACTTACCAGGTGACAATGTTATTTCACTTTTGCTCTGTAAATCCTTTAAATTCACCAACCACACCCAACTCTCCCCCCTCCAAAAAATATTTCTGAAAAATAGATGAGATTTCTATAGGAGAAATCTTCTATTAGGAGACACTTCCAGAGTTCCTTTAAACATGTTGAACTCATTGAAACTCTGCACGGATGTCTCTATTTTCATTAATGAAAAATATTCTCACAGGGCTGAGACGGAACCATGTTAAGAACAACATCCTGCCCATACTGTCTCTAAAATAATTTGGTATTGAAAATTGGTAGAGTTACTCTTGCAGCACAGCACTACTCACTTTGAAGAAGACTTACAGGACCTACTCCTGAAGGAAACAGGCACTATGTGGAAAGAACTCATGGAATATCACTTTTGTGCAGAAAACGTAGGGAAGCTATGGCTTCTTCCCAAAACAAATAGGGTTGTGCATGGAACTACAAACTACCAGCCTGTTTACCATTTTCTGTCCAGCTCATATTTCCTTCCTATGCAGTCCATCAATGTAAAGTAGTTTCTTCTGAGCCCTGGTGTTCCACCCTGGTACTGCTCACACGTGCTATTTGCTCTAAACACACATTATCCTTCTCTGGATTGTTTTTATCCAGCAGCCTGAGCCAGCCTTCTTCTTTCTCTACACCCTCCACCACGGCTTTGAACAAAGCCTCATGGATGAGCACAGCCCCTGAGAAACACCACCAGGATGGGTCAGGGCCACCCTGGTCACAAACCCCTTCTGGTCTCCTCTTGTCCAGGCTGACAAATTCACCTTCAATCGTCGTGAGGTCATGACTTCCCTGAGATGCCCTGTGCCTTTCATGGCCACTTCCCATGCCCAACATTTCCAGTACTTTAGAGGATGCTGACCCTTTCTTTGGCAAGGCTTGGTTTCAGCCATCACTGGCAATGCACTGGTATTACAGAGAAGCAATTCTTCACTGTCTCTTATTTGAAGACTCTCGTCTAAAACAAAGCTATTATCAATCCTTTCAAATGCATGAATTTCCACGACTTTTGATGAAAAATAACATGACTGTAACTTGACGCCTGTTTTCATTATTTCATTGTCTTTCCTTATTTCCTCTTGCATTTTTTCTTGGAGTTTAGATTATGAAAGGCAAGATCATTTTTTGCTATTCTTCTGCTGTTGTACATGTCCTCTGGCTGCAGTGGTGGACACTAAAGCCACACAAGATGCAGCTCATCATGACAGTGATCCTAACTCTAAAATGACATACAAGTATGAAGTCYTTATAATCAAATTTCTTTAAAAGAAGAGTTTTGCACCAACTTGCACCTCAGTGTGTTCAACAAAAATAATCTGATAGGCTTAGAAAAGTATTGTTTCACAGCAACGAAGAATAGATTCAGATTCTTTCCCTAGGTCACACGGCAAGTCAATGTCAAAGTTAAAATTATGCTATCTGCTGTATCTTTTCATTGTCTTGCACATCAAAAGAGCGCAGAATTAGTATCCTCTTAGTGACTAYGGGCTAATTTCTTTGATAATCAGATACAAAACAGAGATAAAACATGAAGAGATGGCTGCCCACATTTTAATATAAACCTAATGTGTACATCCAAAGCCATGAACCACAAATCCTTACACAGGCAAAACATCAATTAAAGACCAGACAGTTTGAATGGGTTAATTAACATGAATGCTGACACAATCAATAAAGCTATTCCAGTAAAGCAAATCCCTCCCCACAATATTTCTCGTACATTTCTGACAGATGGCTTTAGATGATACATATTCTTTTTGCAAGTAAAAAAATCCAAGTTGGAATACCAAGACACAGAGTCTTCTCACAGATGAAAAAATACTGCACTTATATCTACATTTATGCCACGTTGACTGGAGCATATGAAGTCAGTACTAAYTACTAACAAACTAATCTGTTAATATTAAAAATCAGGATCAAATTCCTGGCAGTGAGTCAGTAACATAAYTCTTACATACTGAAATCTGATTCCCCTGGCATCATTCATCAAGGAAGACACCACTTAATAGGAATAAACTTTGGCTTTCATTTCACTATACTACTGCAGTCCATGCCTAGAGAAACACTACTCTTCTACACTGTGCTCCGTTAAAATAAATTAATAAAAGTAATACATGGGATCACATCCATCTTACAGTATTCTGTGTAAGTTTGGGGTTTTTTTAACCCACATACCTTTGATTTGACTAAAACTGTGGCACATAAGCAATGAATCTGTTTTTTACCTTCCTCAAAAGCCACCTGCTTCCCCTAATAAGAAGTGAAAATACCTAGACAAGAAAAAAGCTATTTAAAGAAACCATGCAAAACTCCTGCCAAGTAATCTGAATATAAATTCAAGGGATCCTTAACAGCTGCAGTCAAAAGCCCACTCCAAACTCTGCTAGATGTTAATCAAACTTAAGTATGTTAATGCACAGTTCCTGTGTTCTTTGCATAGATAATTGCTTTTGTTGAACTGCACTTTGCTTCCTAAGTGGGGTGTGTACAGCTGAACAGCTGATTGTGGAAAACATGGTTATACAAGTCACCAAACGACTGGTCACTTGGTCAAAGCATTCTGCTCCCCTCAAAACAGCTCATTTAACAGTGCAGTCCCTGGACAGGTCCTCCAGGTCCCCACTCCCATCCCACCAGCTGCATTTAAAATTATGGCATGAGCTATCCAAGTTTTCACCTAACTGGTGAAATTTATACACAAAGCACTAAGGCATCACACCTGAGGCAAAGGTAGCACAACGTCCATCTGTTGTGCTCAAACCCGGTGTGCACAGCCCTGCCCCTGGAGAACTGTGCCTTCTCTGGACCACTTCACCATCCTATACCCCAGAAAAGAGGAGCTCTGTTTCCAGGGAAATTAAACAGACACAGACAGCTGACTTCACACAGGTCACTGAGCCACCTGCAGGTTAGATTTTTTTTGCCTGATATTATAATCTGTGAACAAGAACAGAAGATTCACGGCCAGTCCTGTGAACCACACATTTCCATCAGAGACTTGTAACAGTCCAGACTTAAAACCACCACTAAGGGGCAAAACACAAAGCCATGGGCTCCCCAGAGCATATTAACAGTCGAGGCTATTATGATCCCACTGATGCACTCCCTGTGGGAGAAATACACATTTAAATTCGATTGTATGACAAGGCCACATGGTTGGCTGTGTAAGAAAAATTAAATAAATGTTATTACCTAAAGTCCTACATATTGATGCTGTGCAGGTGCATGAGTTACACGGGCAAACAAGTAGGAATTTGTTCCTAAATTAAAGTTTGTCTAGCTTATTAAAATCTGGAGCACACCTGCCCAGCTAGTCTTTCTGATTTGAGATATGAAATAAAATTAGACATGCTAATACCATTACATTTGCAGGGTCAGCAACTAGCAGCCAATACACCAATTTGGCCACCCAGCCTGTATGTTCCTAAATTCTGCCTCTAGCTCAGACAGTTACACACCCCCTCCTCCTCTTCAAGAACACACATACCTAATTACATATGCTTTCCTCCCCGTATAGTGCTATTGGGCACAAATACCATTTAGAGATGTTGACAAGGCAACTGAAGCCAGCTTTCAGTTTCAGTCTCACATCAGATATGCTGCTCAATCAAAGCATCTAAGACTGTCAGCAAAGGTCTGCAGCTTATCTGCTGGGAAACAAATGCCAGTCTCCAGACTTGTCTTTCTGGGCTTTTTTTTTTGTTCTTCCAAGATACTGGATAAAAACATCTTTCTTAAATAGAGTCACTTATGTTAATCAGCTTTTTAAAACACTGCTGCCAAAGCTCAGTTAACAACTTGATAAAATTAGCTATGAAGCATCTTCTATACTGATAACACGTTCCAAAGTGAGGTTTTAAACTCACTTTATAGTGAAAAGTTGGTACTTTGCAAAAAGTTCAGAGCTGTACGTGATTCTAGGAAATGCATGTTTGATTTGACTACATTTCAAACTCGGTAACTGGCAGCAACGTTTAAGTAATTAATAAGATTACCAAAAGCTCTCAATTCCCAGCTCATTCGAGGAAAAGCAGCTGCATATTTTTCCTAATTGATTTGTGCCTACATTTCCAGATTGAACCTACTCCTTGGCTGAAAGACAAAATAGGAAATGTTTACACTACTATCGCTGTCGCCAAAAGAAAATCTGTGGCAGGATACCATACAACTGAGAATTTCTCTAGGCAGCTTCTGCTGAGGGACATATGCTGGAAGGAAATCAAGGTATTAAACAGATGTGCATTTTCATGCGCAGGTCACGCTAATTTACATCTATACACAAGTATCCCTCTATTCCAATGAGTACGCTCGTCCCAGTCTCTGCTCAGGACTGCCAAAAGCTTTCCGTGAAAGAGAAGGATAACCTTTAAAAACAGACACTTAGCGGAAAGAAAACAAAAAGTACTCTGAGGAGAGTCTGAACGGACTGTGAGCGCCAGGAGCGCTCCCGCATCCCGCCCATCAGCCGGGTCACCCCGCACGAACGCGGGGACAAACATGCCTGGATGCTCTGCAAAGGCGGAGGCACCGCGGGCAGTCCCGGATCCTACCCGCTCCCCCGAAGATGCATCCACCGAGGTCAAACCGCGCTCCGGGAGCGATGCCGCTTCTCCCCAGCTTCCTCCCCGGGGCTGCCGCACCCGCGCCCGGCACCTGCGGGACGGGACGAGTCGGGTCCGGTCAGKGCTTACCTGTCCCACGGGCGCCCTCCCCGTCCGACCGTCCGACCGGCCGCTGGGAGCCGCCGCCGGGAGCTGCCGGGAGCGTCGGGACTTGAGCGAGGGGCGGTGTGAGCGGCGGGGCGGGCAGGGCTCAGCCCCTCCTCCGCCTGCCCCGCACCGCCCCCGGCCAGCCCCTCAGACATTTTTAACCGCTTCTCCGCTCCCTTCGCGCCAGTCTCGCTCGGGCCGCGGTTGAAGGAGGTTCGCTGTCCCTCCCTCAGCCCCGGGATGGTTGCCTTCTGCCGGCTTTCAGGCAAAGTGGGAGCCACGTAGGGCCATCGAGGGTCATTATATTCGGACTAGTGAAAGATAGGCACCTACCCAGCAGCTGATCGAGGAATGAAAGYGTCAGGAGCTGCGAGTCTACGGGAAAAGGAAACGTCATGTGCTCCTCTCYAGAGCTATTTGAGAAAGGAAGGGCATCGTGACTTTGGAACTTAGATTCTAGAATAGATTAGTATACTTAGACTACGATAAGTTTGGGGGCTTTTTACCTCACTGTTCGAATATGCTGTGACAAGGCGCTAATACAATCACTGCGTGGCTCGTGGTGTTTGCCAGCGGCCGGCGCGTCCTAGAGCCGGGGACCCTGGCTTTGCGGGATAGGGAGGAACCTTCCAGAAACTTCTCGGCGAAGCCACCTACGCAGCCCCCGCGCAGGAAAAATCSGGCYAGGCTGACCCCATACAGCTTCCCCCACGAACCCCTGARGTTGTGGGGGAGCTGAGGGTGCCGTGCCCGGCTCCTGTGAGGTTGCTGGATGCGGGTTGAGCCCAGGCTGTGGCGGTGCCGAGTGCCTCTGACTGTGGGAGCCCCTGCCGCGTGTTGTGCGAGTCTCAGGTTCGCTGGTGCCGCTCGCTGTCCCTGTGGCGGCCGGGCTGGGTTGGAGCTGCCCGGAACTGCCCGGGCGGGAGGAGAAGCAGCAGCGCTGCCGCCTGAGGAGGCGCGGGCRGGATTTAGAGATGGCCCTGGAGCTGCCGGCGGGCCTGTCCGAGGGGGGACCCCRGCAATGGGTGCTGAGTSCTCCCCTCCATGGCGGGAGCAGTCGCGCCGGAGGCTGTGTCACCTTCCCTGTCTCTGATGTCTTCGCTGTTCCATCTGTCCCCACACGGAACAGTGAACGGACAGTTTGAAGTGGATTGTGAGCGGCCATTACATTACTGCGTTGGGCAGGGCAGTCCGGCCAGTGGGAGATGTCCCCGTGCAGTGCATGGACATTGGCAGCCCCACAGATTCCATAGGGCAGTGCGGGCTGTGGTGGGGAACTGCAGGAGGTAGAAATATGCAGGGGTGGGTACATGTGTGGGGCCAGGGACTTGTAGGGGTAGCAGTAGAACCTGGGTGACTGGGGAGAGCTGTGCGTTGGGGACGTGCAGGCACAGAGAGGACACGGAGGGCTGTCAGTCGGGGTGGGTGACGTCCCCTCCCTGCAGCGASCCAGCTGCTGAGGGGCTGCTGTGCTCTGTGCAGTGCTGCTTCGTTTGCTGCAAGGTGGATGGTGCCATCAGCTGCAGGGTGAAAAGGACCCGCTTGAGCTCCAAGAGAGAATGTGTCATCTGGCGTGAGGACAGCAAAGGGCTTGGCACAGGAGCAGGGGGGGCCAGAAATGCCACCTTGGAGTTTTACAGACTTTGCCAGACTCTGAGTGCTGATGCAGGGTGCACTGGCCACCTGCAGGAGCTGTGTCTAWCGSTGAGGACAGTGCGCTGTAGGGGTGCTAGTACAAACACGGACACTGGGGAGATGTGTAGATTGTGGATGTGCAGGGAGACAGAGGACCCAAGGGGTGGTCATTCGAAGTGGGTGATGTACCCACCTTTCAAATGCAGTTGGGGAGTTTGTAGTTTGTTCCTGGAGAAGGGGCTGAGGTTGTGGGGTACTCTGTAGTCAGTCCATATGGGGTACGTGGTGGAGGAAGAGGGGTCCACGGACAGGCGGGTGTTTGGGAGCACCCTGCCTGTCCCACCCAGGCCCCAGCTGAGCCTTCTGGGGGCTCAGTGCCGATGACTGTGGAGAGTCTGCTGAGTGCAAACCAGACGGGCAGCGAGGTGTCCGTGGAACTGTGGAGTGTCCCTGCAGGGAATATCACTCCCCCTGGACTGTGGTGTATAGTTCGGTCAGTGACACTTGGGGTCAGCACCCCGAAGCAGCACATATTGTGGTGTGGGAGCTGGGGACAGAGGGTGCGGTGGGATTTGGAGTGCCTGGAGCTCAGAGCTGTAGGCTGGGGCAGTGGTTCTGCTCTGGGTTTGCTGTTGTGGGGTGTTGCCGGGGTCTAATGTAGGAGCTCCAAGGAATCAGAGGTGCTGAGGGGCTCTGGGGTGTTTGTGCCTGGTGGTGGGTGCGAGCTATCGGGTACCCACTCCTGGTAACCCGCTCCTGGTTACCGAGTGTCCATCAAAGGGATGAGCCTGCAGCACCCCAGCACTAGGTCGAGGCAGAGTGAAGCTGGGGGAGATCATAGAATCAACAGCATAGAGGTGTGGGGACACCAAGGTATGGGGGACGGCAGGTGTTTGGCATAGGGATACTCAGATCACCAAGAAAGATTMTTMGTTTAGATTTAGCGTTTTGTCATGATCTAATTGGGCAGGATGTCCCTGAGATTTCTCGCAGGGCTTGGGAGATGTTCTCAGGGACAGGTTTCAGTGAGGGTGGTGGGACCCACTACAGCCCAGTGATGCTGACGTGGAGACATGGCTGCAGAGTGCCCATTTGGAGGTCAGGGTGGTGACCACTGCATCCCCAGGAAGTGGCAACATGCAGTGCCAGGGCTCGTCTGCCCCATGCATGTGGAAGGCGAMGTGGCCCTGGGCCAGTTCCCTGTTGGGGCTGTGGTTGGGCAGGGCCAGTGTGGGTGAGTTGCAGATGTCGGTGAAGATGCAGACGCAGCCGCAGGGACACTTTCCTGGCCCTGCAGAGCAGCACGTGCTTGGGGCACTTGGCTCTCTGTATCTCCGTTGGGCATCTCTCTCTGTATCTGGCTCTTCTATATATATATAAACTACCTATATCTCTGTCTGTTGGGCTAGCGGACAGGGGTGGATCCCGCTGTTTGTCTGTGCGCAGTCCGGAGAAGGGGCTRTGTGTCCACAACTGCTGCCTGCAGAGCTCTCGGGTGGCTGCCTGCAGCTGGAGCCCCCGGGAGAGAAAGGACAGCCCTGGCAGCAGCTCTGGGCCAAAGAGCTGTTGCCGGCAGCTGCCCCGCRCAGGGGCTCGGGCACAGGGGGTGGGTGCGGGGCTGTGCTGTGGCATTGGGATGTCCTTCTCGTGGCTCAACGCCTTTGTCCCTCGTACTGCAGAGCCCCGTGCTTGGGAGAGCGGCCGAGGCTGGGCACTCGGAGATGCCACTGCTAGAACCGGCCGCAGGACCKTCTTTAGCCCAAAGCCCCGACTCGGTCCAAAACCAATCAGAAAGTTTACAAGGCGGATGCAGGTGCACATCTGCACTCCGCAGTGAAGGAGAGAGGACTCTAGGCCAAAGAGCTGTTCCAGGCAGCTGCCCCGCACAGGGGCTCAGGCACAGGCAAKCCTTGAGGTGTCAGGCGGGTGTGGGGCCGTGCTGTGGCATTGGCATGTCCTCTTTGTGGCCCTATACCATGGGGTAGCCACTCAAGCCCTAAGCAGCTGCTGAGGAGCTGCTGTGCTCTCTGCAGCGCTGATTCCTTTGCTGCAAGGTGGGTGCACCATCAGTTGCACRGTGAGGAGGTGAGGAGGTTCTTCAGCTTCCATGTGCTTCTTTGAGTCTTCCARGGGTAATGTGTGGTCTGATGCTGGGATCCAGACACTGGAGGGTTGGTAACCTTTGTGCTGGGGCCACAGGGTTTTCCAGTGGCCAGCCAAGGGAGGCATTACAAGGACCCTACAGCAGCAGGCTGGGCCAGCCAGAGCAGAAACCGCAGCAGGGATGGGATGGGGCGGGGCTCCTGAGCAGCTCTTGTTCCCTACTGGCTGTGGCAGGGGCCTTGGTGGCTTGGCTTTCTATTCCATGAGGCTGCAGGTCCTCGTGCTGGGAGCAGTGGCCTCAACAATCACTCTAGTCCAGCCCAGAGCAGAAAAGAATCTGCAGCATCAGCCTGGAGAGGAGAAGGTGCTGCCAAAGCATAGCAAGCCCARCCTGGTCCGGAGGGATGCCTGGTTCCATGGGAGCTGCACTCAGGGAGAGTGGACTGTTTCTGCATGGCTGCATCTCCTTCTTCTGGCCGTGTTGGCCGTTGTGTGCGGCAGTGGTCCGTATGGTGATCTAAGTTTACAAGAGCTTGTATTTTCTTTTCGGGGGTGCCTGGGCTCCAGGCCCAGGGGCAGTGCCATCCAAGGCCTGGCTGCCTTCTGCCCCATGCTTCTTGTCCTCAGCTGCATGGAGGAGATGGAAACAGGGTGGGCAGAGGAGTAGGGAGCGCCTGGCCCTGCCTGGAGTCCTTGTTCCTGGTCTGGCAGAGCCCCTTGTTGGGAGAGCGGCCGAGGCTGGTCACTGGGAGGTCAGCAGCATGGCCAGAGCGATGGCGGCACGGGTGTGTGCCCGAGGGGCAGGGAGCAGGGGGAGGGAGAGGGGTGAGATGCCGGAGCAGCAATTTTGGGCTCTGTACTGGCTGTGYGTGCGCCTGGGGACCTGGGGAGGAACGACTGGGCACAAGGGCGAGGCTGAGGCGTCTCACTTTGTGCTCACAACCGGTCCCTCGTTTGCTTCCCAGACCCTGGGAATCGCTGCTCTGCAGCTGCTGCAGTGCCCAGGGAGCCCATGGAGGCTGTTCTGGTTGTTTGATGTTTCAGATGTGCCYCCAGGCTTGTTTGTGGCTGACAGGATTTCTGGCATAGCTGGGTGTTGCAGAAACCCGGCCAGGCTGACCCCATACAGCTTCCCCCACGAACCCCTGAGGTTGTGGGGGAGCTGAGGGTGCCGTGCCCGGCTCCTGTGAGGTTGCT